CACCATGCATTTGATTGCATTCATTTTTTGACTCTCTAACATTTAGATGCTTTATCATCTCAAAATAAAATAAGAGTGAATGAAAACTTACTAATATATTACATTCAAAGACTTGTAATATTTTTGAAATTTATTTTGAAATGAATCAAACTCATTGCTATGTAATTTTTTGCTGTTCATTATTAAAAACATGCTGCTTATAGTTATATATATATATATATATATATACTAAATATGTTATTTCAGAAAATTCCTACCTCTCTGCCATAAATTTTCTATTAGTTTTTTGGCAATATCATTTCCAGCAATAATTTTCTTGTTCGCCGGAAGATCAGAAATCTTGAGGTCTAAAAACAACAGAGTCATTTGGTTCTTGTAGGATGAGGATTCTGTAAGAGGATATTAATATGTTTTTATTATACATTATTTACACAAAATGCTTGTTTTTTTTTTATGAAAAACGAACAATAATTATAATTAAACTGAGGAAATATTTATTGGTTTGTTTGTAGTTAAGCACAAAGCTACACAATGGGCTATCTGTACTGCACCCACCATGGGCATCGAAACCCTATTTTTAGCGCTATAAGCCATCACACTTATTGCTGAGCCACTGGGAGTGGGGGCGAGGAAATGAAATTTGTACTTATTACCGTAATGCTGGATTCCTTATATATTAACAAATGTTGTATGCATTATATTAAGACGATTTTGGAGTCTCACCACGTCGTTAACGTTCGTGTCACCGTGTACGGTTATGGTGACACTGACAACCGTGATCCTCGAAAATAACTCTGTAGTTCAGATTTCATTGCAAAATGCTCTGCCGTAAGGCTTTCATGTCCAAAGCACATCATTTATCCTTGCATGCTTTCCATAATACATCTAGTGTACAAGGACAATGGTTTTTACGGCCCATTTAAAGAGTCCGATCACACAGTAATCCATATGTGCTGCTTCCGGTGATTTGACCGGTATGTTTTCTTATAGAGTAGCATCAACACTCGTTTTATTATTCAGCTACTTGAAGAATGCAATGGTTAAATGAACATATTACGGATACAATCTGTGCACACGTCACTTGTGGTGCTTTTTCTCGGGACGGGGACATTTCTTTATTGTATTGTATACTATTGCATGGGACACATAGACAGCTTTTACAAACAATGGTTGTATTTTTGAATTCTCACTCATTACAAGACGTTGCACTTTGCTTACCATGCCTGGTGTGCGAATTGTTGTGGGACTCTTCCTGTATTGCCCTGGTTCCCATAGTTAATGCACATGCCTTTGTTTTCTAATGTCATATGTACAAGGGATATCCCCGCCATGTGCATTCTAAACCCACTATTTCAACACATTTATACGATCTAAGTATATGAACAGTTTGCATCAGAAAGGATCGTTACAAACCCTTACCAAAAAGTGATCTATTTTCGATGGCATCACACTACTTGCACAACGATATCAAATTTAAATCTGATACATGCTACTTCACCACGGTTATATATTGGCTGTGGTTGTCACGTAGCTTCGTGATTTGCATATTCAATATCTTTTTTTAACATAAGGTACTGAGCCATCTGTATTAATTTAGTACATACACTTTCCCGGAGTTTACTCGCAACATCTGTGGACTATCTCTCTTTCTCTCACTTCTATATAGTTTCACGATCATCAGAAGCCCAACTTAGGACTTTCACGCTAAAAATTGGGTTTCGTTACTAGAGGTGAATAGAACACAGATAGTTGGCTAGTTGATTGGTTGTATGGCGTTTTATGGCATGAAGCAACTAGACTATCTGTGCCAAACAACTGGTAAAAAAAGCTGCAAGTAAAATATAATAAAATGTAAAATGAAAGCAAATTGAAAATAAAACAATGCCCAAAAAACAGGTAAAAGACTAAAATAGAATAAAAAGGGCCAATGACTAGTGAAAAACTAAAAACACAATCAAGTTGAACAATATCACCATCGCCAATAACACCGTCCAATGTCAGGGGTAAACCCTTAGAAAATACATGTCGAAAATGGTGCCGCCGCCGACATTCGTAATGGCGGAACGAAAGTAAAATGTGCACAATTATGACCTAAGTGTCACAAAGGCCCTAGGTGCGATGCTGTGGTAAATATCAAAGCTTTGTAGCATATTCTAAAGAAAACTGCAAACCCTGGAGGTGAAGAGGAAGTTCGTGGGACTAAGTGCAGAAAGCTCCTGTGCAGAGCTGAATCACCAGATGGTGTACAGGGTCCAACATCTTCAAGGCAGAGGGCCTGGCAGAACCATAGACCAGAGACTCAGCACAGCCTCGAACGTATGAAGGCACGATAGATCCTGAACATAAAACATTAATATGTTCTGCAAGAAGTGAAAGAGAGGACATGAAGGATATTCAGTGCCTTTGTACACATGACACAAAGCTGCTTATTGTGAGAAATGAAAGTAAGCTTACGGTGAAGGATAAGCCCCAAGAACTTTGCCTCGGAAACCACGAGAAAAACATCTCCACCGAGGCAGAGCTGAGGATCAGTGTGTAAACCCAATTGTCAGAAAAATGAATGCAAACGGTTTTAGAGAAAGAGATGGTAAAACCATTTGCTGTGATCCACTTCAAGAAGCGAGTGAGTACAGTCTGAATTTGCCACTCAATAAACCTCATGTTTGACAACCGTAGGAGGAAGTTCTTTAGTGATAGCATTGATCTGGTTAATGAAAAGGGTGACATTCATGACACAACTCTGAGGGACTACAAGTTCCTATGTGAAAGAACAGGAAAGGGTAGAGCTCACACAGGCTTGGAATCTCCTGTCAAGTAAAAAGTTATGAATTAAAGTGGGTAAATGGCCACACAATCCATAGGAGTGGAGGTCCCACAAAATGCCAAAACCTCTATGTAGTATCATAAGCTTTCTCGAGATGAAACAAGACAAAAACAAGACACTCCCTCTTGAGGAAGGCTTTCCTGATCGAGGTTTTGAAATGAATCAGGAGGTCCACTGTGAAGCACTGTCGAAGAAAACCACATTGGGTAGGTGAGTTTGTTTTGTTTGTTTGTT